CATATTTGTAATTAGTTGGTTTGATAATGAGAGTCTTCATTTGATTCAACTATGATCAATCTCTTTAGCTTACAGTATATGATCTTTTACTCTAAGCTATATAATGGTTGTGTTGTTTTTCTTTACTATGAAATACTTTTAAAAACAAAGTATGAGCCGATAAACAAAAAAAGACGTGAAGCCTTTTGTGCAAGTATGTCAACATGATAGTCCTTGGTTTGCAAAAAGTTACTCTTTATGATTAGTTTCCAATTTCAGAAAAACAATTCTAATTTTTTTCTGATTTTAAAAACAAGAATTTCTGATTTTTAAGTTTTTCATCTAGCAACTCTGATGAAAATACCAGAAGCGAGTCTTTTCTTCATTCTTTACAGAAAGAACAAGCAAAAATGCATGTGTGATTCAGACAGAAGAAAAGAAAATGAGTTATTACCTAATTCAAAAATAAATAAACAATTCTGAAAAAGTGAAATTTCAATGGGCAAAAACTTACTCATAAAAATTACAATGGGCAAATCTCCAAATGAAATAGACAATTACCCATTTGCCCCTCCCTTGGCTACGCCACTGGATGGATGTTACTCAATAAATTTCGAACAACACATCCTCACACGCACACCCGGGCTATCTCCCTGTATTTATCTTAATTTCGATCATTCTGACGAAAAGGTATTTTTTTTGAGAGCAGACCTTAAAAGGTTTATTCCCAATTTTCTCAATGAAACTACACGTATACATCAGTGTAAGTAAGAGAAAGACAACATTATAAAGTGAAGTGTCAATATAGACAGGATGATTAGTTACTTGATGGTTGAAATGGAAAAAAATACCTAGGTATACGTGTATGATTTTTTCCATCAATATACCTTTATAATATGTGTCATTAAATTATAACGATAATGATTGGTAGGTATTTTCTTTCTCGAGAAAGCCTACAACGATAGACACCATATAAAAAGCAATTGATTCTTTACATTTTTTCACCAAACACAATCTGTTGACGACATCTAAAAGGTAATTTTTGATAGCTTTCACAACAAACTTTGTTTTTATTGTAGAGAATAAAATAAATAGATGATATATATAATGAAAACTAGAAATCTCAACTGTATTGTAACGATTGAATTACATGAGAATTGAAATTGTTTTTTCTCAGCAAAAATCTAGATTGAACATATTTGTAATATAAATTAGAAATATTAAACACAATTTTCTAAAAGGGATGAACATAGAGTGTAAGACTATCTCTTAATTTTGAAAAAAGTGAATTTTTAAACGAATGTTTTATTTATTTCATTCAATCTAGTTTATTATTTCTTGTTTAGATTTCTCTTAGTACTATTTATACAATACAATTTAATTATTATTCAGCTAAAGATATTTACTCTAAACGACAATGTCAGATCTTAGCTTACTTTATGAACAGGTAAGAATAAAAATTTTTTTATCTTATGAATAATTTCATCTTATTTTAAAATCGACATTTTCTTTGACTTTATGAAAACAGAAAATTTTATTGAAAGGACAATTGATCTTTTATATATATATATATATATATATTCTCACAGTTATCCTAAATAATTGACTAATTTTAATTATTCATAGTTCCAGAATTATCAATCACTATTTATCGCTGCAAAAAACCATCCAGAAATGCCTCTAAAAATACGAAATCTATTGAAACAAGTGGGTGATGAACTCATTCTTAAAATTCAACTTGGTCGTAGACCTTTGAAAGGTAAAAATCTTCTTTGTAAAATGGCTAACTATTTAACTAATTCAAAATTTACTGATAAACAACTTGAACTTGGTTATGATGAAATCTATCACACTTATTTACTTATTACTATTGAGAATAATCATGGATTCAATGTACTACAACGTATAATTAAAAATGCTCCACAAACTACAACTGGTAGAACAGTTCTTGTACTTGAGAAAGCAATGCGTATTGGACTCAGATATCCGATTATACCTGACGAAATGATCGATCTCTACGATATTCCACTAACACCAAATAAACCATTAACACTCAATCAATTAATTTCTACAGCGTTGCATACTGGCAAAGATTTTTTCATATATGATGCTGGTGAAAACAATATGTGTCAAACATTTGTCGAACATGTTATTGAATGTAATGGTTTGATGCCTAATATTGTTGATCAAGCAACATTGGATGCTCTCAAATCAATGGATGCTAAAGCATTGATTTCTACGCTAGGCAGTCGATCTACTATTGTTAAAGGAGCGACTGATTTAGCTGCGAGTTGTCATAAATTAGTATTTGATAACAAGATTAAATTGAAAAATTCCAAACCAAAAGAATTCATTTCATTGCCTAATGCCAATATCATTCGTTCGAAAAGTACCAATGCGATTCTTCAGCTCGAAAATAATGGTAAGAGTAGAAAACGTAGCAAATTCTATTGTTTATATATTATTATTTTTTGTAGTACGATCGAGTTTTCAAGGTTAGTCGTCATTCGAATGATCGTCGAATTCCACGTTTTAAGAACGAAAAAGATCTATGTACACTTCAATTATACAGGATATTCTGTAAACAACTTCATAATAAAAATTATCAATCTTTTGAACGTTTTTTTAAACCAATAAGATTAAATCTCCTCTAGTGCTTAAAGAGCTTCGATGTATAAAATTAGTCTTTCAGTATTTGTCATTTTGATGGACTACTAGCACAAAATTGCAGGTTTAGTGTTCGACAATATAGTTTCAATTGATTATTCGTACAGTTGCTATATTCATGGCTCGATTTATTCATTGCTTCAGTAGCGAATCATGGCATACAGATTTGTACTCTCATGTCACTCTTTATGTATATTTTCATACATATCGTATTACTGTTCACGTCATTCTTTTTTATTTATGCCTTTGATTATCCTACGACCCTGACGATCCTAAAGGGACAGTTGAGCTAGAAAACAAGTATAGCAGCGAAGCAAAGTCTTATAATGAGCTGAACTGTGGTGAATGCTCAAGCAAACGACTTGGAATTTGAAATTCAAATAAAATAAAAAGAGAAAAAGGAAAAGAGAAGAAAAAAATCAAGGATAGGAAGAGGTATATACGAAAGGAAAGAGAACAAAAAGAAGACAAGAGAGGAAAAAAAACAAAAATAAGAAAAAGAAAGAAAAGAACAAAAGAAGCGAGAAGTAGTGCGCAATGTCAAGCCGTGATACTTTAGCAATAAGACGTAAGCAATCCAAACGAGGGTGTGGGTGTGGGTGTGGTTCTTAATCTTCTCTTCACCAACACTTACACCCACACGCTGTGTTATAAATTTATGTGTCGCAAATAAGTTAATATAACGGTCCACTTCACTTCAATCGAGCAGAAAATAAATTGGGACTCACAAGATTAAAGAATAATTATGCGTAGATATAAATCGATAAAAGTAAATTTCATATATCACTTACGAATTTTATCAAATTGATAGTATTAAATAACTAAAAACACTATCGATAATGATTCTAATAATAGATAAGACAGATAGTGAGAAAGAAAAAAAGTTTTTCTAATTTGTTTACTGTTTTTGTGTTGAAATTTTAAATATATATTCGATGGTTTTCATAGTCTTGTTAATTTGATTCTGTGATGAACAACGATGATACATTAATTTGATTTAGAAAATAGAATTATGTATGTGATTATCGATTAGAATTACTTATAAATAAGAAAAAATTATATAAATCATTGTATTCTCACTGAATTTTGAAGTCAGACCAAGAGAATTTCATTTAAGAGCCATTGCATGTAAGTCACAACCGAAATAATGGAAGGGTACTCAATCGACCATCTCTGATTTCATTCATTTTTATATATGTGATAGAGAAAATTGTTTAATAATGTTTGCTGCAAATCGGATCGAAAAATATTGATCCGCTGATTTTTTTATTGAACTTTTACGAAAAGCCCCACAATCCACAACCATGAGAAAAACATCCATTGGTACGGCTGTATCTCGAGAACAGCTCAACAGATCGAGCTAAAAATTTGTGTCAACACTCATAGCTAATGATGCTATCACTTAAAAAGAAATTTCAAGCGAATTGCTTGTGTCGTTGATTTTCTGCAAATACCATTTGGAGAGGTCAAAATGCTAATTTTAGCCAGTTTTGTAATCCTATATCTAGTGACTAGTGCATGATGGAGTCTTGAAACTTTTATTCCAGAAAGATCTCGATGATATCTTATTTTGGTAAAAAGTCTCAGCTTGCCTGAGCAAAGTCGGATTTTTCGGTAAAAATCGTGATTTAGGACATTAGCGGTCTCAAAAAATGTGGAACGGCCAATGAACGGAGTACTGAGCTCTGAAAGCCTCATCTTCAGTCTACAACTTGCCGCAAAAGGCAGCATGGGATCTCTATGGGAACCTTGGCCATAGGGGCTGCATGGCTACCCCTATATTAAGTAAATGACTTTTGACCATAAATCTCAACAGCGATGAGAAAAGCTATTTAGACATGATGCTTAGGTAACTATTCACGGAGAAAACAATGGTGATAATATCAAATGTGTCCATATTCAAAATGTGGTAGGGAGCAGCAGGAAGGAGGGACGAAGAAACAATAGTTCAACATAAAATTTTTCGTTAAGTGTATTGAATAACAAGAAGGGTCAATAATTGGTGGTGCGATATCATGGAAAATAATATTGACCTTTCCTTTCTTCACTATATATCTCACGATAAATTCTCTCGATGACAAGATTAAGATTAATCAAGCATGATGGAGGTGAGAATGAGAAGGAAAAAAAAGAAAAAAAGAATGATAAATAGAGAAGAGTCATTAACAACACTCATTTCTGTGTACAATAATGTCTAATCAAGAATCATACTATCGTCTTGGTCGAGGTGTGAGTGTGAGCGTAATTGTTCCCTTCACCCACTTCCACAGGAACAATCACATCCACACCCATACCTCACACCTATAGTGTGTCTTTTACTCCATACATTAGTTACTTAAATGAGATGTATTTGTAGTCTCGGCCGTTTTCTGTCAAATGAGAAGTCGCCGAACTCAAACAAGCAAGCTGTTTATGAGAAAATATTAAAATATTGAGTGTACCTACTTTTAGCGATTTTTTTAGGATAAAAAAAAACTCTTTAAGCTTGTTTTATCTTATATTTTTCATAGGTAAAAGCACATAACCTAATATTTTGAATTTAAGTATGGTTTGATTAGACATTTCATTTGAGATAACTAAAATTAGATTGACAGTGCTAAAAATTTGGTGAAGTATATGTTTAACGTGCTAGCGAGAACGTAGGAAACAGAGATAATTAGATTAAGTATTAGGATTGACTGTGTTTGAACTTCTCGGAAATTTTCTAGTCGATATAACATTGATAATATAAAAATCACATTTATTTTTCATACTGATATTGTCCGATTGACGGTGTTAAACAAAGATCAATGTCTACAGATATATTATAATCAGCTTGTCGTTTTCAATTTTCAACGAAGAATTGCGACTTAAATGTTTTTTTTTTCTATTTTATTCAATAGTTTGCATCAAGCGGTTTTCAAAAATCTAATCAAATGAAAGCAAATTTGTGTATTTTAGCCATATTCAAAGCGAGCATTTCCATATGCAAAACATTCTTCGTAGCATCAAATGTCCATTTACTTGCTATTAAATTTTGTCCATTCCATATAACTGTCGTCGGTTGTTTGTTCATGCCATATATTTTTATTTCATCTAATTTGACATCATCACCCATTTGTGGATAATTATATGTCCAAGGTTCGAGTTTTAAATGTTGTGAATTGAAATTAAAAATAAAATAATTATAAATCAAGTTTTCATAAGTATCAATCGATTCACCATCATCCCAGAATAGATCTCCACTAGCACGTTGCTCTTTATTAAGTGCAATAATAAGATACATAGGTTTCTTACGTGATGCCACAGTATTCATAGCCGATTGTTGATGTGGTATAATAATACCACCACGTAATAACAATGGAATAAAGTCGTATGGTGCTGATACTGAAATGTTGGCCATTGTTGTCTGTTCTTGACCAGTATAATAATCAAACCATCGTTCAGTTGTAGGCAAATAAATCGATTTATGGATATGATTTTCATAGATAACTGGAGCAATGAGTAATGATGAACCCCATAAAAATTGTTCATCAAGTGACCAACATTCAGCAATGGATGGAAATTCGTGAGCCATAGAACGAACAACAGTACCACCTGAAATATGAACTCGATGGAATAATGTGTACAAGAATGGATTGAGAGTGTAACGTAATTCAACAGCATGACGATTTGATGTAACAACTTCTGTCGAAAATCTTCCAGGATCTTGATCGATATAATTATAACCATTGTGATTTCGAAAGAATGGATTGAAAGCACCTAGAATAATGTTGAATAGAAATAATAATTTATGTTAGTTTCATAATGAAACAAAAAAAAAGGATAAGAACCTAGTTGCATCCATCGTTGACATAGTTGCTCCGTTGTATTTCGAAAGTACCCACAAATATCAGCGCCTATATAAGGAATACCGAATAAATTAAATTCTAACATTCCAATTATATTATGTTTGAGATGTGACCAATCGGCTGTATTGTCACCTAGCCAATGACCACTGAATGAACCCGAAGTTGGAAATGTTGATCGACTGATTATAATCGATCGTTTATTTTCAGTTGCACGCGCAGCTGGCAATGTAGCTATTATTTCTGACCATCCATATAGACTGTGAACATCATAATGATGATAGATTTTGCCTTGTCCATCTACCTGTTCACCAATCATACATAATGTTTTATCCGATAAATAATCACCACAACTTGCTGTCTTGTACGGTGGTTTTTCTAAAGGTTCACGATCAACAGGACAATGAAGATTCCACGGTTCCGGTCGATTCCAATTCCATGGTTTCTCTTTATTTGTATCGAAATTAGCTGGTTCGCTAGAGTCATTAAAACATTGATCATGATCATCAATAAAAAGACATTCTTACTTCATATCTATCCAAAGACCATCAAATTTAAGTTTAGTATGATAATCAACAATTTGTGATTTCCACCATGTGTGCGCTGGTGGATAAAAGAAATTGGGAAAAACCGTTTTGCCTAAATTCAAAAGAAAGATTAATAACAGTCTGATAGAATATGAAGACTGCATAATTTTGAATTAGCAAGTGGCTTAGAATAAATGAGAATTGTCGAATTTTCTTTATATCTCATTGAGTTTTCATTATCAAAACTTCAGTTTATTATCAAAAAATACGTCACAAAATTCTCTATAAATTGCTATAAAAACAGTTCTATCTAAGCTTGAAGAACAATAAAATAGATAAGTAATAATGTATGCCACCAAATTGATCAACTTTCAATGATGGAAAGTAGTTTTCTTAGTTTTCTTTGTATTTTATAGAAAAATGACTGATGATCAACTCAAAAATCTTACACATCAAAGATTTTTCTTCATTAGAACGTAATAAGTAAAATTATGTAAGCTTTTTGCGTTTTTCATCTAGTTGAAGTAAAAAATTGGTGTTCACCAATAACAATTGATTCTAGTCAACTTCACTATATATATCCAGTTTCTGAGAAGCGATTCTGATATTCAATTATGGAAAATGTCGGGACGCATCTTTTGATAATAAACTGAAGTCTTGATAATGAAAATTGAGCAAGACATCAACAAAATTTGAAGATTCTTATTTGTTCTGGGCCATTCGTTATATAATTATGACCTTTCCTATTTTAGAATTGTTTATCTTTGACCAGCAAAACCAATATGACAAGCGAATAAATCCAAGCAAAAATCATGTTTCTCATTAGGTGATTGTCAATTAGCGTTGTTGTGCTTTTTAAGACTTTATTTATTCTTATTTCATTATATCGAATAATCAAAAATAAAACTAATTGATTTATATGATTCACAATTTTGATTTTTATATTTTGAATACTTCTCTGTCACTCTCTGTACTCACCATCAGGCCACACATAACCTAACATATTTCGGTTGCCTGTTTCATTAAATTGAAGATTTCGATCTTGTGGCCATTTGATCCAAATGTCGGCTTTTTGTCCTTCGGTATAAACTGAATAGTTTGCTTCTTCAGAATCAATAGCTGGATCTAGAATGGTGATGAATTTCATTCCTTGACCATGTAACCAATCTACATATTCAGGTAAGCCATCAAAATTAACCGGATCCCAAGTGAAATCAAGTCTCTTTCGAAAATAATCAATGTCACCATACCTTGAACAAAGGAAAATATATAGATAAAAACCAATAGTAAATAATGATTTTCATACTTACATAACATCAAGAGGAATACTTGCATTGAGTGTTCTCATCATGGCTGCTTTCATATTATCTAGTGTATTA